ACAGCTCACAGCAACCTTAAACTCTTGGGCTTAAGCGATTCTCTTGCCTCAGCCACCCAAGTAGCTGGGGCTACAGATGCCTGCCACAACACCCAGCTATTTTTAGAGATGGGGTCTCCCTCTGGCTCAGGCTGGTCTCCAACCTGCGAACTCAGGCAATCCTCCCTCCTTGGCCTCCCAGAGTGCTGGGATTACTGGCATGAGCCACTGTGCCTGCCCCAGCACCTCCTTCTCAGAATTCTTGTGAGGATTAAGTGAATCCTCCAGGGATGTCCAACATGAGGCCCACTGAGGAGGGACCAAAAATAGGGACTGTGTTTGAATGTCTATATAGGAAATAACCTCTAAGCTGGGGCATCCGGCCTGAAGCCCAGGGGCCACACGCTGATTTTGTGAGGACACTTTTTCCTTGTCTGTGGTGTTGGGTATCACGCAAAGTATGCACAGACCTTTCTGCTAATCAGCTTTGTCGGGTTTGTGTATTTACTGTGGGCAACACAACTCTTATTCTTCCAATATGCAGCAGAGAAATAAAAAAGGTTGGACACTACAGAGCTCTGTATAAGTGTTTTCCTTTATTATTATTATTACTTCGGTGTAAATTGATGGCAACTTAACTCTCATTAAGCTATGCCTACAACAGCTTTTCATTTCTAGTTAGCTGTGGAATTCATCAAAGGAACTAATCATCTAGTTGGCGTCACGGAAGAAACTCCCCAGTCTGTCACCAAGTTCTGGTGCATTTTACTCTGAAGCATGTTCTGAGTCTACAGGTTCCCTTCAGTATGGGTGGAAACTGAGCCCATGGGGGTGGCTGTTATAGGTAGTAGTGAAGCCCCAAGTTCAAATCCTGGCTCTCCACTCACCAATTGTGTGACCTTGGCTAAGTTTCTTAACTTCTCTGAGCCTTGGTGTTCTCCGTTAACCAACAGTCCTGATGGTCCCTATTTCACAGTGTTTGTGAGGATCGAGTTAGATTATGCAGGCGAAATGCTGAGCCCAGGGCCTGGTACTCGCTCACACAAACTTGGTTTTCATTCCTGCTACTCTCAGCTTCATCCCAGCCATATCATCCCTCACCCTCACTTAAACCTTTGCGGTGGCTTCTTTTTTTTTTTTTTTTTTGTGAGACAGAGCCTCAAGCTGTCCCCCTGGGTAGAGTGCGGTGGCTTCACAGCTCACAGCAACCTCCAACTCCTGGGCTCAAGCGAGTCTCTCGCCTCCGCCTCCCGAGTAGCTGGGACCACAGGTGCCCGCCACAACGCCTGGCTATTTTTTGGTTGCAGCCATCATTGTTGTTTGGCGGGTCCGGGCTGGATTCGAACCCGCCACCTTAGGTGTATGTGGCTGGCGCCTTAGCCACTTGAGCCACAGGCGCCGAGCCTCGGTGTCTTCTTTTCTAGCCTCTAAACCAGCGGTTCTCAACCTCTGGGTCACAACCCACAGGAACTGTATTAAAGGGCTGTGGCATTAGGAAGGTTGAGAACCACTGCTAAACCAATGATTTTCAACCTGTGTGCCATGAGAGGATCTTAGGTGTGCTGCGAAAATTTTAAAGATCGTTAATTAAATTATTTTTGTAAGACACTCAAAGCACAGTTAAGTATATTCTTTTTTTACTATTTTTTTTGACCAACATAATTTAAGTGCGCTGCAGAAGTTTAACTGTAGGCTCAAGTATGGCAGTGAAATGAAAAAAAGGTTGAAAAACACTGCTCTAAACTTATACAGGGGCCCAGAATGTGTTTCTAATCTTACACCCCTGTAAGGCAGTCTCCCTACAGCAGCCAAATAATTTCCTAAAAACACAAAACTAATCATGTCACTCTTCTGCTTAAAATTCTACAAATGATGCCTGTTATCCTCGGGATAAATTCTCACACCCTGGGGAGGCTTCCCTGGCCCAGGGCCAGTCTTCATCAGCCAGAGCCTGCTCCCCTTTTCCTTAACTGTAGACCCTAGCACATGCTGTGGAAGGGTTTCTCCCCACACTCTCCAGGCCCAGCTAACTCCTATTCATCTAACAGGGCTCAGCTTCATGTGTGACTCCCTCTAAAACACCTTCCCTGACTTCCTGACCGGGATAGCTCCCTCCATGACTAATTTCTCAAGGTATCTTATTCTGTTCCTGCTTGGTGTTAATAATTGTGATTAAATTTTTACCTATATAATTTTATTGTCCCCATAGGCACTTGGTCTAGGGTTTGTGTTTTTCCCAGAACATCCCTGGAGCATGGTGTGGTATCCAGACCATAGTAGGCCCTTGGTAAATATTTAAAGATTTAAAGATTGATGGCTAGGTGCCATGGGTCAAGCCTGTAATCAAAGCACTCTGGGAGGCTGAGGTGGGAGGATCCCTTGTGCTCAGGAGTTTGAGTCCAGCCTGAGCAAAAGTCATACCCCTATCTCTACTAAAAATAGAAAAATTAGCCAGGCATTGTGGTGGGCACCTGTACTCCCAGCTACTCAAGAGGCTGAGGCAGGAGGATCACTTGAATCCAGGAGTTTGAGGTTGCTGTAAGCTAATGCCACAGCACTCTAGCCTGGGTAACAGAGTGCAACTCTGCAAAAAAAAAAAAAAAAAAAAAAAACATTTAAAGATTGAGCGGATGAATGAATGAAGAACAAAGGAACAAATAGGTGATTCTCTCCCTGGGACTCACAACCCTTTTCAGCAAATGCCGCTCTGCAGAATCCAGCTTCACTCTAACCTCCTTTGCTCTGAGAGGGGTGTGGGGGTAGGAGAAGGTTATGGGGAAGGTGCGTACTGTTTAGAACCCAGGAGGCTGAGGGCAGGCTACCCCTGTCATGAAAATCAGAGCTGGAAATCCTTAGAGAGGCTGATTATCCAGTTCTCTGCTTTGTTAATACTGCCAGTGACTAAGAACTCTCTTATAATTGTTATTAAGTTCTTTCCATATTCAATCTTAACCCTTTCTTCCTAAAAGTTCCCACCAGAGGATTGCTTGAGCCCAAGAGTTCGAAAACCATTTAGGCAACATAGTGATCCCCCATTTCTAAAAAAATATATAAAAATCAGCTGGGTATGGTGACACACACCTGTTGTCCCAGTTACTTGGGAGGGTGAGGCAAGAGGATCACTTGAATCCAGGAATTAGAGGCTGCAGTGAGCTACAATCATGGCACTGCACTCTAGGAGCCTGGGCAGTAGAGCATGAATCCATCTCTAAACCAAAAAACATTTCCACCCATTTGTGAGATTTTATTTTCTGCTGTGACTTCTGTATTTTCCAAATATATAGAGTATATGTAAATTGCTTTTGTAGAGAGCAAACAATACATTTTTAAAAATTTGAACTGTAAAATCTAGTTCTGCCCTTTATGTTAATAAGAAAGGAAAGAAAAAAGAAAAAAAAAAAACCAAACCACTGGCCTTCTCTCCCATATTAAATCCAATATAAGTACAACTTGGCCTTCTTCTTAGGATCTGCCTGCTATTTGCATGTACAGTGAGCTGCCACTACCTAGCAAATGCTTTTTCCAACTTTGAAAATGTGCCTTTACCAGCCTAGTACTGGGGGCTGTGATGTCTCTGGGCCACTAGGCCTGTCTCAGAGGGTAGAGAGGTAATAGAACCCTTGAAGGCAAAGCCTGCCCACTCATTTCATAAGTAGACTTAGTATCTATGGCCAGTCAACAGTACAGGACAGCTGGATGGGTAAGCCATAGGTTTTGAATAAAATTAATCTGAAAATAGAGGAACTCTGGAATATTTTCCACAGGTGCAAGTAGATTAAGCTCCACACCTAGACCCTATAAGAGCAATCCTCAAGAATGTAAAAATAAATAAATAATAAAGGGGCCAGATCAAGACTTGTTGGATAAATGCTTCGTTTACATAATTGTTCAAAATTTTAAATTCATTTTCAGACAAACATGTTTTATATATTATTTATGTACTTAAAAATGGTTAACATTTAAAAAATTCAAACATAAACAAGGAAAATGTGTTAAATATTCCTTTTTACTTACCAATAACAATGCTTCTTTTTATTAGTGTAAAGTAATAAAACTATGCCAGTTTTTGCCTGTCAGTGTGAATAGTTGCTCCCCAGTGAAAGAATGTGATCTTTAGACACAAACAATAGCAATTAAAAAAAATCATTAAACTAAGGAGGCTGAGTTTCCAAGAAGATCTAAGGGAAGCAATAAAAAGGCCCTTCAAAATGTAACAACCCATTTGCTGTAAGATGGGAATGGTTTTGGAGAAGTGTTTCCAGAGGTTGAGGTTTATTTACCACAGTTTGGGTAAAAGGAAATGTGTTTTCAAGTACAGCAACAATAAGAGCTTATGTCCAACAGCCAAGAAATGACCCAGAAGCACCAGAGTCTATAAAACTTTCTCTGTAATCCCTAGTAACTTGGTTCAAGAACAAGGAAAGATCTGAAAACATGACATTAACATTTGATAGTCAATGGTGATTTAACATTATTATTATTATTTTAGAGACAGAGTCTCACTTTATCGCCCTCAGTAGAGTGCTGTTGCATCACAGCTCACAGCAACCTTTAACTCCTGGGCTAAGGCAATTCTCTTGCCTCAGTCTCCCTAGTAGCTGGGACTACAGGTGCCCGCCACAATGTCCAGCTATTTTTTGTTGCAGTCTGGCAGGGGGCCAGGTTTGAACCAGCCATCCTTGGTATATGGGGCTAGTGCCCTACCCACTGAGCCACAGGTGCCACCCAACATTATTTCATTTACATCTTATCTCTGAGCAATGGGACTACAGATGTTCTATTTTATATTTTCTTATGTATTGTCTTAATTGTTTATGAGTATGTATTTTTCTTTCTTTCTTTCTTTCTTTTTCTTTTTTTCATGCAGGCTCTGTAGAGAATCATCAGAAACTGCCAGTGCCAATGATATTGCAAGTCATCACAGTGGGGTATTGGGAAAAGTTTTCAATTAGCAATAATCACTCCTCGGATAAACCTCATTGGCTATGATACTGCCACTGTGCAAAGCTTAAGAGTATATATTTTGAGTGGAAAGAAGTAAAATTGTCTCCCCATTAGGAAAAAGCAGTTCTAATAGCCATCATTGCCAACTTCCTGACACCTTTTAGAACAGGGTAGAGAATTAATTCTGCCATAGATTATATAAATCACTAGGAGGGCAAAGTGAAGTCATTCATTCTACAATATTTACTCAACACCAACTTGTGCTAAGAACAGAACTAAGTAGGCACCAGTGAATGTGCAAAAAATACCAGCACACGGGTCTAAACTAAAGAGAGGCCAGGTGCAGTGGCACGTACCTGTAATCCCAGCACTCTGGGAGGCTGAGGCAGGTGGACTGCCTAAGCTCAGGAGCTCAAGACCAGCCTGAGCCAGAGCGAGACCTGTCTCTAAAAAAAATAGCCAGGCATTGTGGCAGGGTCCTGTAGTCCCAGCTACTTAGGAGGCTGAGCCAAGAGGATCGCTTAAGCCCAAGAGTTTGAGGTTGCTGTGGGTTTTGATGCCACGGCACTCTACCTAGGGTGACAAAGTGACCCTGGGAGTCACTTTGGGAGTGACAAAATAAAATAAAATAAAAGACAGGCATTGAACACATACTGCCACCAGTAAGTGTCCAGTTGCAACGGTGACAGTTGCCATAAAGGAGGTATCAGTGATAGGAGCATCTGTGACCTTAAGATTGGTCCCTTGCTTGGGCCTAGCTCCATACACTTTCCCTTACAAATGGGTTTTCCCACTCAGAAGGTCCTTCCTCCCTTCTCCACCTAGTTAAACTTGACTTAGCTTCAGAATCCAGTCCAGTTCCTGTGTGAGAGATCTCTGATTTGAGGATTCCCTCCAGTTGGCCTCTCTCTCATCCTGATGTGACATCCGATATCTCCTTGAGAATCACGCATCTCATTAGTAGCTGTATTAACCAGAGAGCTCCAGGGAAACAGACCCAATAGGATGTGTAAATACACAGAGTTATTTTAAGGAATTGACTCCCAAGATTGTGCAGGTGCAAGTCCAAAATCTGCAGGCCAGGCTGGCAAGCTAGAGCCTCAGGGTAGAGTGTCCACAGGAATCTGCAGGCAGGGTTTCTTCTAGGCTCAGGGAAGGTTGGTTTTTGTTTTCTTAAAGGCCTTCCACCAACTGGATGAGGCCCATCCATATTATGGAGAGGAATCTGCTTTACTCCAAGTTCATGGATTTTTTTTTTCTTGTTAAATTCTTCATTGGAATCAAAATCCAAATGTCAATGTCATCCAAAAAACATCTTCACCGAAACATCCAGAATAACGTTTGACCATATATCTGGGCACTGTGGCGCAGCCAAGTTGACACATAAAATTAACCGCCACAGAAGTCTCACTTCCCCCACCAGAGTCTACCACCTGGAAGTCACAAATCAGCTCTTACTTGTCTTTGAAACTTTCTGTGGAGTTTAGCTAAGGGATTATTGTCAGGAGATATTTAATAAATCCCTGAAGAGTAGAAAAATAGAACAATGAGGTCTAACAGATCCTCTGGAAGCAACTTCCTGCACCTTCTGGAAACAATAGAGAATGTGTCACCAATGGCTCCTTAGTTCACAGAGTACAAACCATGTGGTGGCAGAAATTTCAAAAGTACAACACTAGACTAAGCAGGAGTGAGACCCTATCTCTACTAAAAATAGAAAAATTAGTCGGGCGTTGCAGGGTGGGCCTGTAGTCCCAGCTACACAGGAGGCTAAGGCCAGAGGATTGCCTGAGCCCAAGAGTTTGAAGTTGCTACGAGCTGGGATGATGCCATAGCACTCTACCAAGGGCAACAGAGGGAGACTCTGTCAAAAAAAAAAGCAAAAAGCCCAACCCTGATCCTTCCTCCATTCTGAAAACAAGTCTTCAGGTATATGCTTTCATACCTTCTAATATAACAGATTTAGACAGACATGTCTGTCTATTGGCATTTGAACTTAACCCAGCCCTAGCCAGTAAAGACAAAAGAACAATGCAAAAGAATATCGTGGCCCAGGGAGAAATTCTGGACACTGGTCTCTGACCATCATCGTATGCCATATGCGCCTGTTTCAATCTTCACCTTTCTCCCCCAATCTGTCGTGTAACAAACTCCTACCTCTCATTTCCCTCCATCACCAGCCAAGCTTAAATCTGCCTCCCCCACTCCCCAAAAAAACTAGGCTTGGAGGAGTGGCCTAGTGCCTTCTCAGCCAATTTACATTCCAAGCTCAAATCTTTCTTTCTAAACCCAGAGCTTAATTTCAAGGCTTCCCTTTGGTTCCAGAGCTGGCTGTTGCTTAGGCAAGAGGAGCAGTGGAGGCCTGGGCCAGAAATCTCCACCTCTTCTCAAGGCAGGCCCTATTGTCCCATGCCTGCAAATGATCTAGTGCCTGTGCTGTAACTTCTGTCCTGCATTTGTAAAAATCCTTTTTATTCCTCCTCAGTCCCAATAGAAAACCAGTTGAAGGATAGGTACAGACTGTTCACAGAAAAGGAATTCCAAATGTCTTTTGAACACAGGAAAAGATGCTCAATTACACTCATAAAATAGAAATGCAAATTAAAAGCACAAGGGGAATATACCAGATTGGCAAAGACTAGAATGTTAGCTAACACAGTTCAGCACGACTGTGGGGAACGTGTGCTCTGAACATTGCTGGTACCAGGCTGACCTTCTCTGACCTCCTTGGAGAGGAATTTGGCAAAATAACTCAAATTTTAAAATGTACTGGCCTGGCGATGGAGCACTTTCCCTTCCAGGTGCTGAAAGATCTATTCGTCAATTCACGCAAAATGACGCTTGTGTAACAATGTACGTTGCATCGTTATCTCTAAAATCAGAAGACTGGGAAGTATCTGAAGATATATTAATAGGAGATCAGTCCTATAAATTATAGAGTACTATACACAGCCACTTAGAGGAACAAGCAAGCTCTGCATGGACTGCCACACTTGGTGAGGGACAATGAGACCATCTGTTCATCTTGCTCTAAAGGAGGCCTCTTACTGTGACCACAGAAGTGACACTGGGATTGGGCAATAAAGACCGATAGTGTGACTGCTATATTTGTTTCCTAGCCCTGCTGTAACTGAGTACTACAAACTGAGTGGCTTAAAACAATAGAAACTTATTATCTCACAGTTCCAGAGGCCAGAAGTCAGAAACCAAGATGCCAGGAGGCCAGGCTCTCTCTGGAAGATTTTAGCAGTGACTCCTACTTGCCTCTTCCATCTTCTGGAGGTTGCCAGCAATCCTTGGCGTTCTTTGGCTTGTAGATAGAGCACTCCAATCTCAGCCTCCGTGGTGTTCTCCCTTGTATCTGTGTTTTTGTGTCTAAACTTCCTCTGCTTAGAAGTCACCGGATAAGGGCCTACCCTATTCAGTATGGCCTCATCTTAATTTGATCACGTCTGTAAAGTAAGGTCACATTCTGAGATTTGGGGGGGGCATGAATTTGGGGGGCGGGTGCACGATTTAATCCCCATGTAGCTGCTCAGCATGCTCACTGAGGAAGGAGAAGAAGCAAAAAGGCAGAAGGCTGTTTATAGACTTGTGGTTAAGCATATGCCATGGACTCAGCAGACCTGGTTTCAAATCCTGGTTCCACCTACTGCTCAGCTGTGTGAGCTTGGGCAAGTTACTTAACATCTCTAAGCCTGTTTCTTCAATCATGCAAAGGGTTTAATAAAAGCCCATACCTTCTTGGGTTGCTGGGCAGATAAATGACATCAAGACCTGATAACACCTAGTATTCAAGAAAATTAATGTGGTTTTTTTTTTTTTTTTTTTGCGGTTTTTGGCCAGGGCTGGGTTTGAACCCGCCACCTCCGGAAAGGAAAATTAACTTTTTCTGGATGGCGGAGGCAAGTGGATTTTTGGAGCTCAGGAGTTTGAGACTAGCCTGAGCAAGAGTGAGACCCCACTCTACTAAGAATAGAAACTAGTTGGTATGGTGGTGCATGTCTATAGTCCCAGCTACTTGAGAGGCTGAGGCAAGAGGATTGCCTGAACCCAGAAGTTTGAGGTGACAGAGTTAGGGGTCAATCCAGGGTGACAGAGTTAGACTCTGTCTTAAAACAAAAAAGAAAGAAAATTAACCTTTTTTTTTTTTACGTATTTTAAAATTTTATTGCATTTGATAATTTATAATTATATTTACCGATGGGGTACAAAGTGATGCTGTGAATACAATGAGGAGAATTACATTGAGCTAATTAACTGATTTAGCACTTTAAATATTTATTTTTGTAGTAAGAATGTTGAAGAAAATTAACTTTTAATGCTAAAGTCCCCAGTTCCTCTGCTCTTGCCATCCTTTCAGGTATAAAAGTAGACAGTAAAATAGCAAAACAGGATAGTTTATGATTAAAGGTCCAGATGTTTAATATGGGATGTACCTGCCACACAAGGTTAGAGAGTACTGGGAGGCTGGGCTGGGGCAGGCACAGACTAACTTTTGATCAGTAACAGATGCAAACTTGGTGCTACAACCTGAAACTCCGCAGCTAAGCCATATTGATTTTCCCTCTCGCCCGATGCACTTGGGCATCAGGACATTAGAGAGAGGCCAAGGCTTCCGTCCAGGTGGCCCTGGCCTCCCCTTATCAAAGCTGCCCCCAGAGAAAGGGCCCCCTGGGAGGGGATGGCTGGGGAAGGGGTTCATGGCTGCCTGTGCTGATTGCTGACAACATCCCAAAGGCAAACAAAAATGACTTGAGATGATCCACGTTTTGTACAGATGGGGGGAACTGGCTGTTCTACGCCAGCTCATGTGTTCCATTAGAAATGGATTAAATCATTCTGATTTGGAAACTTTTGGGTGACATTTTCATCTAAACTCACCATTACAGCTTGAGTCCTTTGCCTGTGATTTGCGCTCCGCATTAGCCAGGCTTGGACCCATCACGGATAGGGCTGATTTTGATTTTCTGTAGCAGCTGGCTGCTGCTCTTGTTTCCTCCACACTGAGAAAAGTCATGTGCATGACGCTTTGTTTCTCAATTATAGCTTTTCACATTTTTTT